AGTAAGGTAGAAATATCTACTAAAAACACTTATTTTGGTGAAAACTGGCAATAGCTCATTGGAAAGTTTTAACTATCAGTATTTCTGGATTTTGAAATGATTTATAGAGAAAAGAAAAATTTATATGTGAAATTATTTAGTATTACTGGAAGTAATTATTGTGCCAAATTTTGTCTTTATTTAATATTCAATTCATTTTGTTTTATTTTAGGCACATTACATTTAGATGAGAATGGCATTGTGCAAGACACTGACTACAGCATTTTGCAACTCCCTGCTGATTATGAAGACACACAATTATCTTTATATGATTTTCAGCCTTACCAAAGTTTTATCAGAAGCAGCCATCTTGAACACTCATGGTGAATATATTTGATTTATAATTTACCATTTTTTTTTAACTATTTCACCCCAAGCAAGGCAGGAATGCCACAAATACACATAGGGTTACTGGGAATGTAAGTGAAAGAGAAGACTGAGAATAGGGAAGACTGAGGAAAGAACAAAAAATGAATGGGATTCAAGAAAACAGAAGATGGTGATTGACGTTCCATTAAAATTTTTGAAGATTGTAGCTATCAGTGAAGCAAGTAAATGGAAATGAGTTCCACAGGTTGGAAGTGCAAGAAAAGAAACTTTTGAAGTAGAGGAGGTAGTTGTGTTTAGGTATTTCAACAGTAAACAGGTGGGACCTAAATGCCAATCTAGTAGCACACTTAAATTCATATAGTCAGGGTACCAGGGAAAAAAGCTTGTCAGAGCAGTTGCCATGAAAATATTTGTAGAAAAGACAGAGGGAAGCCATGTCACATTGGTGAGAAAGGGACTTAAGTCCAGCTGTACTAAGAATTCCCAGTTTTTAACAAGTAAGCATAACTTGGTGTGAACTTTTAAACAATTCTTATTCTGTCAGGATATTTTAACTTAAATAGTTTTTTCTGAGAAAAATGAAAAGGTTGATAAGTCAGTTGCAACATTAATGTATAATATTAGTCAATATTATTTAGAATTCAGACATTAAAAAGAATTGAGGAATTAGAAAAAAAATAGAATAATGACTACTTTATTAAGAATATTTTATTTTATTATTTACATTTTTAAAAGTACTATCTCTTATACAACAAAACATATTGAGGAATTCTTGTCTGCATTTTGAAGTTTTGAATGAGATCTTTTCATTGGAGATTTATTGATTGTTTCTTTAACAATTGTAGATTCTTGCAAGGCTGGAGTACTGCTCCAATACCTACCATTCCCATTTTTTAATCAGATATGGCATTTTTTTAAAAACAGTTTGGACCGGATATGGCAATTTCTAAACTAGATTTTTGTTTCATCATAGTAACTCTCTTTTAGATGGACTAGGCTCGATATTTATGTATAGGTGGAATTGAGTTCATGCCTTACTCAAGAGAATTAGTGGAAAGTTAACATAAGCAGTTTTGGTTAAAACTTGAGCTTGGTTTGCTAATTCCATTTTCCATGCTCATAACCATTATGCCCTTCTTCACCTCCATTTATTAAGATTAGAATTTGATAAAATTTTGTTGAAGTAATTGTGACACAAAAATAGTTTCACTGGTATTTAAAATTATTGTTTAAACAAAAAATCTCAAGTTTTTTAATAATTTTGTTTATTTTCTTGTTTTCTAAGGAAAATAATTTATATTAACTCACTTTTAATTTTAGGTTTTATGCGGCAAATATCATAAATAAATCTCCAAATTCCCTAATTCATTGTTTCTCTCTTTCTTATTTTCACACACACACACACACACACACACACACACACACGCACGCACAACTGAGTTAATGGTTTCTTTTAAGGAAAATGTCAATATAACTCATGAATTTAAGCTGCAAAAACTCAAGATCTGCAAAAAGAATATTGAAAATGTGTTTGGGTAATAAATATATGACTTATCAAAGTGGAGTGTTAAAATTGTATCACTTTGACTTTCCAACTTAAACTTTTGATGTTTTCATCAGGAAAAAAATGAGAGTGAATCAATAAATCTATATCCTGACTCAAAATTATTAAATGTATTTTGATCTGCAATTTTCACTGTATAACAATCTATGTCATTAATTGTCACCACTGAATTAAGTGCATTTACACACTAACAAGAAAAGATATGTGTTGTGTTGACTTTCATGTCAATACTATCTCTTTCTTTTTCATATAATATGTATATGAGAGATTTTACAGAGTAAGGTCAAAAGAAATGGAGAGCTAGTGAGCTAGCTGTATATGAGGTCTGTTTGGAATGGAGCCAACCATTTTGAATATTTCAAGAATGATTTGAACAGCTTTGTTGTAATTTGGCATTCAATCAGAGGGCACCTTACTGTGCATGTGTGAAAATACACTTTCCCATGGCATCAATCAACAGTCAGACAATAGTGAGTGATCTTTTATGACCAATACATCCACAAATCGCATCTCATGCAGGGAAGTTTTGAGAAAACATTCATGATTGTCTCAGATCAATATAATTAGAAAGCAATCATTGCAAGAGAATGATTGTAACTATTTTAGACTTGAATTTTTTCACTTATTTGCAACTCTTTGTATTTGTATTAATGTAAAATATTAAATAAGGTATTGATTTCTTATATTGATTGATAATTGGGTAAAAATAATACTTTATTTTTATTTTACTTGCAAGTTCCAAATCTTTTTGCTCCTTATTTTATTGATGATGTCAGTTACTAATCCCTGTCAAATATCAAAGGCCATTAGGCTGGCTGATTAAATAAACTTGCCCTGACTTGAGCCAAAACAAAAAAAAAAAAACCTTTAATTTGTCAATTTGTTATTTTTGTTTGTTTGGTGTTAATTTTATTCAGATTTTCCCCTACCTACCTTAACTGTATAAAGAAAATTTTTTTTCCTTACTGGATTGACTTGTGGGATCAGATCACAAGCCACTTGTTTAATGTCAGTATTGTCTGTTAATTATGAACAAGTTGCAAGTTTACAGCATTTACTTATTCTGATTGACTATCACAGATTTTACAAGTAATGTCTGCTATAATATATATTGTGTTAATATATTGCAAGTTATGTCTATAAAGTATCCAGATATTCAATATTAATGGAGAACCATTTCAAAATAGCCCACCTAGGGCAATGACACCTTAGTCATCTTCAAAGTATCCACCTGGTTATTTCAAATATGTATCCAAATGTTCTTTCCACTTTTCAAAACAAGGATAAATTAAACATCAAAATACTAAAAAAAAAATAATCACCCATGCTTCTTATTTTCTTATTTTTAATGAAAACTTATTACCTATAAGTATATTTTAGAGTTATTTTCATTATTTAGTATTAAAATAAACATTTTTATGCATTTTTTAGGTATGGCATTAGTGACTTAGAAATATCTGATGATGAAAAAAATGCTGTGAGTGCTCCTGAAAATGTTCCACTTAAACAGACATACAATGGAAGGCAGTCTGTGTATAAAGATCATGTTGAAATTTCTAACGTTTCACCTGCTACTAAGTTGTTAGACTATATGCAAGTCATTAACAACGATTTTCCAAATTCTCCTCTCAATTCTAAAACATCTCCTGAACACTTACATTATATTTATAATGATCAAGATCCTTTGGAAGTTTTTATGAATCAACCTAACTCTTCTTTTCAATCAAATAATAATGACACTGTTACAAATTATCACACATCAGCTGCTAGTAATATGTATTTATATCAGAAGAGAGATTTGCTTGCAGAGAGTGAGAGTTCTTCCAAAAGTAATCTGTCCATCCCTGAAGGCTTAACTGCATCAGAGAGAGAACTTTATCTTCAACATGCCACCATTTCTCAAATACTGGACAGTAGCCATAATGAAAATTATCAATCGGAAGAAGAGCAACAGGTTCAAGATGATGATGATGATGATGATGATGTTGATGATGAACTGTTTCTTATTACAGGACACATTGATTTTGGTACTCACCAGTCTTCAAGACCGGGGTCAGCTAATGTTTTGGAATATTCCTCAGGACTTGGTCAGGAAATGTCTAGGAGCTCAGAAAGAAATTGTCCTAAAAGTAGGGTTAAGAAAAGATCAGTTAGTTTTGATCTCTTACCACAAGAACAGTCATTCAATCCAAATGAAGAAATACCTTCATTTGCTCATGATTCTATGACAATTTCTCTTCCTGATAATCTTCAAGATAAAAATGCTCTTTTTAACCAAAAAAGATCCCAGGATCAGTGCTATGAAACTAATCAATGTCACCCAGATTTTGATAAGAACATTTCTGAAAGACATTCAGGACAATTTCAGGATATAAAGAATGTGTCTAATAGTTTTTTTAATGAAGATATTTCAGTAAATTCTGATTCAAATTTAATTAACAGAAAAAGTTTGGTAAGAAGTGAAACGCTTAATTCTTCTTATTCACAATATTCATCAGATGAAAAATTTCAAGTTTTCCACGACCAGAAAATCTCGGTCATTCCTGAAAATCTCAGTGGACAATCAAAATTCGTAAATCAAAGAAACATGAAAGAAATGGAAAAGCATCAGAAGGAAATTGAAACTACAATGGATAAATTAGAGAATTCTGGGCATAGTGAAATGGAAGAGGGGTCACTTTCAAAATCCAAAATGGATGACAGTATGAAATCATTTCGAGCCAAAAGCAAAAGTACAACAAATATTTCTTCTCATTTAACTCCCATAAAATCCAAATATAAATCCCTGTCTGAATTAAGTAATATACCAACAGATGGCGATGATTCCATTAAAGATCTGAATGCTAAACTAGAAGAAGAACTTTCTAAAAGAAAAAAAGCCACTCAACTTGTAGAACAACTTCAGAATCGATATGACAATCTCCTAACAAGATATGCAGATGCTGAAATGATGATTGATGAACTTCGTATTGGATCAAAGATGGCACCAAAAATACCGGACTTCAAATCTTCACAAAGTCCAATCACAAATTTGATAATGAACAGAGCACTAGTCACTTCAACTCCAATGGCTTCGACTTTTTCTATGAACCAAAGTTTGTGTGACGGTAAGGATTGTTTAATTTTCTTTTTAATTTTTAATTGATACAGTATAACCTTTAGAAAGACTTTATTCAACTATAAAAGTTGACAAATTTATGAAATTTATAACAAAATGTTATAAGGAAGTAGGGGACACAAGAACAACAAAAGATTTCTAGATTATTCCATTCTATTAATAGCAGTTTTCTCAAAAGCCTTCTCAAGTAAATATCTTTTTCAAATGTGTTCCCAATTAAAATTCCACTCAGATCAAATTGTTTACTTTTATATTACATCATAGACTGACTAAATAATAAAGACATGTATGAAATATTTCCAGATTATATTAAAGAAATTCAAATCATTATAAGGCATAACTCTGTTCAATATCTTGTACTTATTAATAAACATTGCTATTTTAACATCTGTCTATATTTTTGAGATGAGGTATTGTAACTGTTTGGACTGTTCCTCATCTTTATTGTCATAATCACAATGTTTTGATCATTATATGCTCCAGGCTTCTTCAGCTGATATATGTTGGAATTTTGACCCCCAAGGACACATGGCTCAGTGGATAAAAATGTTGGTTGAAGCAATACAGTGACTTGACCTGAAAAGTTGGGAGTTCAATATCTGGCCACAGTAGAGGTGAACAAAAACTTGGAGAAAGGGAAATTACTTAAACTGAGATTTCCCAAAAATACATGACATGTGGAACTAGAACAATCTACCCCGCAATAAAGGGTTTGGTTCAAAATATCAACATATATCACCTGAAGAAGGCCATAGTGTACAATGGTTGAAATGTTGTGAATATGACAACAGTCTGAACAAAGTAAATAGTGTAAATAATTGTTATTTTAATTCTCAAAATTCTTTTTTTTTAATTCTCAAAATTTTTTTCTTTTTTTTTTCTTTGATGAACTGAAAGACATTTCTGAATAGATTACCTTTTCTTTTCTTTTTTAAATTCTATTAATAACTTCATCAAATAGTCTAATTAACAATGTAGAAAAAGGTAGGCATTTGTTAATTTGAAATATTTATAGAATAATTTTATATTTTAAGAATTTTTAACTTTGAGCATCTTTGGAGAAGAAAAGCTACATTTTGTAAAACTCCAAGCTAGTCTTGCTGTTGCTGATGACAAAGATTATTTATCTTTGGTACAAAACCAGTGAGGATCAAGCTCACTTTTCAGGAGCAATAGTCAACCAAATTAGCTCGTTAACCATTACCCCATGCCAATTATTGCTGTCTGTTCTGATTTTAGTTTTCCTCTTTTTCTTCTATTTCTTCAATGGACTCATTTCAAGATCTTAAGTTGATCATTCTTATTTTTATTTATTTTCCTTTTGCCACAACAGATGATGACAGATTGCCCCTCAGTGCAAGTGTCATTTTGAATAATTCAGAAGGAAATACAAAGACTAATAAACAAAATGATGAGCCACTCTCAAAATCAGGAAAAATCAAAGAACATCTTCTTCTTCAAGCCAGACATTTGGAAAGTAAAGTAAGGAGTCATTTTTCACTTTTTAAATAAAAACACAATTGCCTCATTAAAAATAAATTAATAATTTATTCAAATAAAAATGTAAACATTTTGTTCAGCGACTTTATTGAAATTGTTGATTTGATTTAAAATTATACAATTTGAAAATTTTTCTTTTTAGTTAGAGTTGTAGAGTGTGAGATTTAAGATTTTGTACTTGACTAATAATTACCCAGTAAGGGAAAGACTATATATAAGTCAATGCTCTCATATATGAGGCAAGACTTATTTCAGTATTACTGTACCTCTCTCTTTTTCTTTCTCTCTCTCTCTCTCTCTGGGAGATCTAAATCTACCTTGTCTATTATTGTGATCTTTATATTGTTTCTCATTGTCTATGTCTTTATCCTCCAGGCCCACTCTATCTTCCACTGCCAGAGTTTTGTTTTCTTGGTTCAAAAGCTCTTGGTTGGGATTACTTACTATAACTTCTTCTTCCATCTTTTCTACAAATTCTTGTCTGAGTTTTATTTGCTTGGCTTTGGCAATGACAGCCTTCTGATATTTTATATTAATGCTGTATTTTGTCCCTTCTATTTTATAAATTTAACCTTTTCAGCTTTTGATTCAGTATATTTCTTGTACCATATGTTTTATTAACTGAATAAAACATGGTTAACTGAACCCTAATCTGGCTTCCTGTTAATGCAGATGGACTTTGTAATCTGCCATCATGACATATAGTTTGATAATTAAGCAATAGTCTTGGTAGAAAACTTTTAATATTATTTCTATAAGGATAAAATGCTTTTAATCTTACTTTTATAGCTTGTGCCATTCTCTCTGCAATTCCATTTGATTGGGGATGATATGTGGATAAGTTTTTATATGCAATGAACCCAATTTTTCTTAACTAACAATACAATCATCACAAAATTATGTTGCATGATCTGATACTGTTTTTAGTCCCCCATTTCTGGCAAATATTATTCATAATATTTAGATTACAGTATTTTTTCTTCTGTCATGAGCCTGAACATATGGACAAACAATTCACTAAAGTAAGACACAATCCACCATTTTTAACATATGTATGATCTATGTGAACACAGGCCCAGGGCTATGTTTTTTTTTTGTTTTTTTTTTTTTGGTTTGGTGGGCAGTTTATTCTGTCAAAACCTTTTTTATTTCTACACATTTTGGACATTTGTTTTAGACATAACCACATTTCAAATTTGAATCATTTCTGTGTAGCTGTGATCCACTATGAACAATTGTCATACACACTTTTTATTGTCTTTTCTCGAACATTCTGGACTGATTACTAAGTATCCATTATATATGATATCATTTTCCATGGTTAGCTTATGTCTTATCTCTTATAGCTTATGTATAATCTCTTTATAGAGCTTATGTCTTATCTCTTTAGAGAGCATTTCAGTTTTAGAACAGTTACTTATGTTTATTCTTATATCAATTTTACTCACTATTGCATAATGTAATGTTTCTGAGGCAAGTTGATTTGGAGGTAGAATGTTGGTTTCAATCTAGTGAAAAATTTCAGCTTCCATATTGGCTTGTATGCTCTTTAATCATCATAATGCATCTACATGAGGAATAGTATTTCCATTTACATATTCAATATCAAAATCAAAGGCTATGAGTTTTAGGGTTCAAGATGTAACTTTCATGGGAAAATGAAATAAATTTCATAAAAAATAATAATAATAATAAGACAAAGAAATACATTTTCTCATGATGCTAAGAGTAAAAGAACTGGAAATATGATTACCCCACTTGGTTTCATCAAATGTCTCTAGGTGGTGTTGTTGAAACCTATAAAAAGGTAAATATTTTTTGCTTTACTCTCTTTTTTCTTCCAAGATGTGAACCATGTGGTAATTACTTTTCCACTGGGGAATGTTAGTTTCTCTGATCCACTAACGATTGAACTCTCTTCCCACTTTCCAATGCATCGTGCTCTCTATCATTGCTACTACTATGGCCACTCTTCTCGCTGACATCACCATGACCTCAATCAAGCCAGTGTAACAAAAACCAGATTTGCTTCACTATTCACTCTAGGCCTCTTTTGATGTCACCACCATGATTTTGGTCAACTGACCTAATACACATATTCACTCAAGACCCACCATACTCCAAACACTGACAGAGACATTTCGCCTGCCCTGTCATCTAAAATACACACAAACACACAACCATACTTTTGGAAGTTAATTCTTTGGATTAAAAGTAAAAGCTTTGTTCCACACTTCAGCAAAAATTTTCTACTCAATAAGAATTTGTGAGCTCTACTTATATGCTATACAATTGCTAAAGCTTCTTTTTCTATGTTTGAATAATTAGATTCTATCTCTGTTAATCTTCTACAGAGATTCATTACCAGATGTCCTAAGTAAATCTATACAGGTGTTAATAGTTGAGGTTTCTTTAAAATTATCATCAATTTGGATTTGGTGATAAGTGATTATGAGATCATTTTTTTCTAAAAAAAATTAATTGTGACTAAGACATGTATTTCAAATTCAATGCTTGGATTAGGATATGAATCTGAACAGACCTTTTATGGTTCACACTAATTTTATTATCTTTGCAAATGTGTAAATAACTATTCAGTAATGTATCTCTCAGCATATAAAGAAGAAGGGGCAAAATGTGAATCAGTAACTTGTGAGATTTAAAATAACACAGATTAACATTTCTTTTCAGTTTAATACTTGCTTTGTAATCTTTTAACATTCCAGTTTCATTTGGATTGGAATTTATTGCAGTAATTAAATGTGTGTTATTAACATTAAGTACATCAGTTCCCATGAGGCTGTGGCTTCTTACAGTTGACAATTACAATGGGTAAACATTTCAAATCAAGTGTGTCTGTTTCAAACGTTCTTTCAAAGTGTCCCAATGTTTTTTATATTTCACTCATCAAATTGTCATAATTTGATATTTTACACTTAAATTAATTTCAGATGACCAACTTGTTCTGAAATATTTTTTTAATTAAAGTCACTTTCCTTCCCAGTCTCAATTTGCATCGGTAAAGTTATGCCATTGAGTTTCAGTTTTGACCAAACCTATTTCTTTTTTCTTTCTTCTGTAGTGAAAAAAAAATGTTTTCACTCTTTTTCCTTCCATTTTTTTTATACATTTTATATTTTTCTTTTTAAGCTTGCATGAATTATTTTCCTTTTGACATATTTTGTATCGTTATCGAAATGCCAAGTACATTTCTCATTTTGGTTTGTCTTTATAATTACAATATTTGGATTTTTCTTTATCATGTATGTGTCAGCAATTTACTCTTTTCTTTTCAGTAGAGTTAAATTTTTATCAACTCTTGTTGTTATATAAATCAACAAACAAATCAATGACATTTTGCTCAATTGCAATTGTTCTGATATTTTCAATCTATGATAAGTGTTGTCTACACCTTCAATTAATTTCAGTTGGATTAATTCTTTTTCTATATACATTTTATCTTTTCCAAGTCTTCTAATCTTCTCTTAGCCAATGTAAAAATTTTATAATTGGTTCTTCAGACTCTTGTTTTAGTTGGCACCACAATGACCAAACTCTTTTTTGTTGTAATATTTTTCTTGATTTTCTTATTAATTTTCTTGAATGCTAAGTCTTCCAATTCTTTTGCATATGCCATTAATGAGATTTTAATGAATGCTTCATGCTCTGCTCAAACTAAAAATAAAATAGCAATTTGATTTTCACTTCCATCTTCTTTGTTGTCTTTTAATTTATCTGATCAGGCATTTGGCTGTAAAAGATCACAACCACATTTCTACAAAGCCAGAGTAATAAAGGCCCTATTTGCAATACCATTATTGTCAACAGTTATTGATTCACTGTTTCTCAGTAAGAGAAAGATGATGTGTGTGTGTGTGTGTGTGTGTGTGTGTGTGTGTGTGTGTGTGTTCAATTGTATGGATATGAGTTTGTGACCCTGGGTTTCACACTTTTGCAATCATCAGTGAATGATGATTGCAAAAGGATTTACAAAAAATCAGCATCACCTAAGTATAGATAGGAATTTGTGACCCAGGGTCACAAATTCATATTCATACAACTGAATATCTTAGCTCTATCACTGATATTGAGCACTTTCCAATTAGTACTGCATATATATAGATACATATATATACATATATATATATATATATATATATATATATATATATATATTTGTATATTTAGGCAAAAATCCTTCCTTTATGCATGTTTCATTAAAACAACAGACAAGGTACTACGGTTGAGCTTTTATTTAATTTTTCTTGTGTTCTGACACAAGTTTTCTTTTCTGGACAAAAAGTGTGTCAAAGAACTGTCCGAATGTTCTGTATTAAAAGAGCGCTTTCAGCTATATCTTTTAGCCATTATCAGGATGATTCAATTATCAGCTTAGTAGAGTGTGTGTGTTCTGTGATGTTCAGTGTGTGGTAGTGATGTTTTTAGTTTCCGAACACGGTTATATATATATGTGGTTTTGTTCATAGTTAATATTGTTAAGAGTTGGCTTTTTCTTTTTTATTATTAGAGCTTCCATTATTTTTTAGTCTTTTTTTGCAAGTGGATGCAGTTAATATATTTGTGTTTTCTACTAGTATGTTTCCTAATAGTGTCGGGGTAAATCTGAGTGTGTGTTTAAATATGTTCTGATGGAACTGTGATCAGATAGGTGTAATATAAGACGTCTGGATAAACATGTGGTTGTGTAGCCGATGTAATTATTTATCAGTCCAGTTTGGTGAGGAAATCCAGTTCCTTAAAGGGCATTTGAACTCATAGATAATGTTTGTTCTTTTGTAATTTTGACTTAGTTGGTGTGTTGTTATTTTTGAGGATAAGGTTGGCTGTCTTAAATTTTTATAATAGATAATAAGTTTGATTTTTTTTATTAGGGGATCAATAGGGAGTAGTATATTTCTTTATAATATGTCTTAGAGAAGATTCATCTTGTTTGTAATTAATATGCATTTGGTTTTTTGTAA